ACGCTATTGCAAGAGCCCTCAACCTCTCCCCACGTCCCTCCTTTCTTTTTTTCCACTCCTCGTGTATGTTTCGAGGTGTGTGTATACACGGTGTTCCAACCTAATCGGGTAAAAAACTTAACGGATCATTTTTCCAGAAAAAAAATAAAACAAACTTTGCCCGCAAATTGAATGCAAAGATGCTCTCGAATGCTTGTCGTGTAATAGAAGGGGGTATAGGAAGGGGAAGTTTAGAGGTTTAATTCGACGGAAAATTAAATTGCTATGGTAATTTGTAAAATGACATTCGAGCAATATATAATTTTTAAATTGACTTGAAATAAGATCGAAAATTAAGATGACGAGCTGTCGTTAAATGAAAAAGATGAGATTGAATATTATTCAAAAAATGTATGTATATTGAACAAATTGATCTCTAATTCTTATAATGAAAATCGTTTAAAAAGAATAGTATTATTCTCTTGAAAGTATAGAATAATTCATCCAAGACAAAAATCTGCATTTAATTAATTAATAATACCCTAAAAATTTCCCTACTCTTTGCTCTATTTGCTCTATTTGACGATAATTCCATGCATTTTACAGTACTCGTTTTCCTCTTATTTCGTTCGAACACCCCGTATATCGCAGTTGCTGCGTTCCTTCGTACTTTTTGTTCCTTTTCCCTTTTTGCCGGGTGTTATCGTATGTAATGGCTGCTTGACGAGAACAATGATCGAATTTACGTACTGTTTACACGGTCCCCGACTGTTTTCTTCATTCCCAGACGTATGCATTTTTCCATCGCGACGAATTTATGCGACACGGACCCTGCTCTTGAGAATTAATTCTTTTCCGCATAGCTCGTGCTTAGAACGATTTGTCGGAAGGATCTCTCACGATTACGCTGTAAAAACCGATTGTTAACAGCGATGGGAATTTAACAGTGATGGTAGCTTTAAAAAACGTGAGAAAAATCGGAGAAAATGTAATAAATAAAGTGAAAAAAAAAATTGTATACAAATCGGATAAATAATTAATATTAGAAGTCTAATTTTTTTTTTTTTTTTTTACAAAAGAATTGAAAATTTGTAAAAGAAAAATCGAATCAAATTGTTCCAACTCTGAAAAAACTGTGTTTCTTCTGCCACGAAGTCGAAGAACAATGAGGTGTTAAGGGGTTAATCGCGTTCACTCGAAGAAAGCGATGACGCGCGTCGCAATACAGCGTAAAAAGAAACAAAATAATATCCTTAGCAAAGAAATCGCTTTCTTTCTTCGTGTGCAACCGACCGAAGAAAAATGGAGTTTCTGAATTTTAAGTGTCGTCGAGGCGCCATCGATTGTTCTCGCAGACAATGAATGAATTTAAACGAGATTATAGTTTTTCAATCGAAATTTATTTAAATATAAAAATAATATTTTCAAAGATCGACGAAATCTGAATTTAGAAATTTTCCAACTATATCTAAAAGTGATTTTAAAATTTTATTAGAATAAATTGATTCTAAAAATAGAAAGGAAAGATATTAACTTTCTATTAGAGATACTAACTAATTTATTGGTTATTAAATGTACACATTATTTGCACGTTTCTTCATCATTGTCCGGGGACAATTATCTTCGTTGGGAAGAGGTCTCGTTACGAGGGAAAGAATCGAATGCGGTTCCTTCCCCAGAGGCACGAGGCATGAATCGTCGACGAGAGGAGGAAGGTTTGACGTAATCAAAAAAGTTTCACCTGCCGAAAGAACGGAGGAGATTAAACGGTATCCCGTGGGACCGGTCGAAACTGCATCGAGAAATTGCGTTATCCGCATGTCTTCGTACCTTGAGGACACCTTGACACGGATAAATCCGTTAAATCACGGTGTTAAGTAATATGTTAATAAAATGTGAAATGCTCTACCTTTGATCTTTACAGCGTGATTATCGCCAAGATCGAATTGCTGATGCTTCTCTCGGGTTTTTTAACCTTTCCATTCGGAATACTGACGTTGTAATGATTTAATAAGCGTTATAAAAATTTTATATATAGAATCCTTGCTATAGAATTTTTCGAAATAAATAATTTGCCTGGAGGAGCAAGTATTAAATTCTACCATGTGTTTCGGACATAATAAACATAGAAAAGAAAGGCAAGTGATTAAAATGATTATTCATACAATTGGAATCATATGTACGAAAACTGTGCAAACACGATAAAAATAATTAACAAAGGAATAAAATTAATCTACGTGAAGGTACTTCGAAAGTGGACTCACTTGGAAACTCGCTTGAAAGAATATTCCCGTTTCTGAGATGAACACCGATATCTTGCCAACCTGAAAGTTTCTGGAGCTTGACAATCCGAGTAAATTACTTATTCCGGTTTCCATTTTAATAATGCAAATGCGAAGGAAGGAACTCACATTAATTAAGCCCCTCTACTACACATGCATGTAAATAAAGATAGATATTTTTGTAAGTTGAACACGGGATATACAGATGGATAATTTTTAACATGCTTATTTTAATAAGTGGAAGTAAATTTAATTAAATTATACATTAATTCAATATATTTTATTAAATTTTTCTACGTAGTGCGCCGATTTAATGCACAATTCTAATGCTGGAAGGCGCGAATAATCTACATAATCTGTCGTTTGGATTTATTATTATTATTTTTTTTGGTAAAATATCATTATCACAAATAAAAATCTTTACCTAAAAAACTAAAAATTACATTAAGATTACCCTAACTGTGAAATTACCCGTGATACAAAATTTATCTCTACTTGTCGTAGATTTGAAACTTGCAGCCATTTTAACGGAAGATACTTTTTTTTATTTTTCGACACACGCGTGAAACGGTTTTCCAGTTACGAATTGGATGTCGTTAGCAAAAAGTCACGCCTCGAGAGCACAAGTGCCATTACGCTCGATACACGGTGCGATTATTCGTGACGTTTTGGGGAGAAGAACGCTTTCAATCGGGGCTCGAAGTGAAAAATGTCCTGTCAGGTGCAGCGAGCCGATCCCTAACCGAGGGTCCTTTAGCACAGTCTGCGTTACAGAGGACGAGGACATGACAAAAAAAAAAAAACGCTAGGGTAAAACGTTTTGACTGTATTCCGTGTGCTAAAGTGGTCGTGAGATCGATATCGTTAAAATTAAAAATAGACGAGAGAACAAAATGCTAAGCTTTAAGTGCCATATAATAAATGATCAATATTAGGCAAAAAATACTTTATGCAAATTCAATTTAACGAGTTATGAATGAATTTATGTTGATTATGTTATTATGAAAAGGATGAAGAATAATTTTATTTCGTACTTGAAACTTTAGTGAAAAAGAATTTCGTTAAAGAATTCGTATTTAAGATAAGATCCTTTCAATAATTTCACTATTACTTGACTATTATTTTTGTCCAATATAACTTTCCAAACGAAATTGTAGCAAAACTTGAGTTTTTATAGTTAAATTGTGAAAATTTCAAAAATCTACTTTAAAAAATATATATAAAATATATAAAGTAGATACGACATGCTAGAATATTTTAGGAATGAAAATTGAGATTTTTTTATCATCTTTGCGAGATGATTTTTGCGACTGTCCAATTTATGATAAATTACAATTTATCAATTACGAGGAAACTATATAGAATTAAATTACATCTTCATCGTGGCAGAATTATACGTCAAACCGTGTCGTTAAACCAGATCGCAAATAAAATTTAAACAAGGTTGCAACTCGTGAAAGTGCATTAAAATCAAAAAGTATATTTGATTAATGTTTATGAAAGTGCAAAGGAATAGATAAGCGACGACAAACATGTTTCAATTTGCCGATAACTGGGAAGAAACGTATTCTTGCTACGAGCCACGAATCAATCAAAAAGGGCAATAACCGTGTTCACGATAGAGAAACAACATCATTTTCCGTTCTTATCCTAATCGTTCTTCCCGAAAAAAAAAAAAAAGGAATCTTTCTCAGCAATTCTCGAACGAGTACCACGTATCATATATAATACATTGCATAAGGAAATACCAACTTTCTATTACGATTGTAGAATCCTCCGCCTAAAACTCCTATTTACATAAACACGTTGGAGAACAAGTTAATATAATCAGTTTATGCATGTAACGGAACTCGATTCGATTTTTAACAGGAGTTCTTATTTATCATACAATAATTTAAATTTTTCATTCACAAACTCATTTAATTCTGCTTATTAGCATGTCCAATTATTCATTTGCAAGATTTCGATCACACAAATGGACTTCCTATAATATAAACTCGAATAATAACACCGAAAACTGGATGATTTAACGCTGGCACGCGACTCCTCCCGTCTCGAATCGAGATGAACATCGACGAAGAGCTTGCAATGCAGCCGCACGAAGACCGCAATGAATCATAGAGAATCGAGCAATCGATTCGCGCACACTTCTGTCTAATTTCATGGGGTTTGTCGTGGGGGAGAACGAAATTCGAGGAGAGGCGAGCAGGCGGAAGGAAAAGGGCAATAGACGATGAAAATCCTGCGGGGGCCATTCGTCTATGGTCATTGTCTGCCCCATTCGACCCCATCATGGCTTGCGCCCGTCCATACACGAGTTGTAACTACCAAGAAGGGAAACTGCGAGGGTGGCACAGTTTCGTCGACCCCCTGTGGCAATAAACACTTAACCGCACGATCGTATTTTATTTAGAGGACGAATCCTAAGATTCTATCTTTCGTAATTTGGATTATGTTATATCCCACGTTGACGATCCTTGTAATCGACAATTTGTGAAAAATTGTTTCGTATGTTACGAAATGCGACCAATTTTTAGAACGAGATAATAAAATTCTTTTCAATCTAGACGTAAATGAAACGTTCCTGAAACGTTTTCTGGTAAATAAGAAGAAAATTTCGTATGTTACGCGGGGAAGAAATGTGATCAATTTTTAGAGCGAGATAATAAAATTCTTCTCAATCTAGACGTAGCAATTGAAACGTAAATGAAACGTAAAATGTTTTCTGGTTCGTTTCAGAGTTTCTTGGAGGCGAACTCGAAATGCTGGTGGAACGCAGCCCTGGTGGACGCAACCCGGCAACTCAGGTACAAGGGCCACGTGTCACCCGGCGTGCTGATGGTCGGCGGACCACCCTGTGCCCTCGAGGTGTTGAGGGCAGCCTGGGCTAGGAACGTCCTGCGACCACCGGCCGATCACGCGATAACTTGCCTCGGTAAGTACCTCTTCTCCCCTCCTCATTTACACGAGAAAGTGGTTACTCCTGAGAATATTCCATTTCCACGCGTTATATATCTCGAATGGAACGACTCGAATCGGGAGGATCAGCGACGCGCGTCGATTGGTATCGGAGAGGAGGACTCTGCTCAGGCAGAGAGAAACGCGGTTGTACATCTCGTGTCGTTTAAGGGAGGCGGATGATAATGCAAATTGGACGTGGCGTTAAGCTGGCCCGACGGCTCGAGGAGGGCAGCGTATCTCACCGGCTTTATCTTTACGCGGCCGTGGTTCCCGCATTATCGCCACCCGAGTTCGAGTTTCCAAACGAGTCGAGCTTCCACGCTCTTACGCGCTACCACGTGCTACCTAAGCATTGTTACCTGTCGTCGTTCCGCACACGTGTCGACGCTGAACACCTCCCTGCTCGGGAACTCGTTTCAACGACACCGACCGCTTGTATCACTTGTCGGCTGTGCGGCACCACACCTTTCCGCCGTCTTATATTCGTCGATTCCTTTTTTCCCTACTTTCTTCTCTTCCTCCTCCCCTTTCGTTCCACGCGCCACCACCATCGCCATTTTCGCGCACCTCCCCCCCCCTCTCCCCTGTATACACCTACGCGCATACCGAACGTATGCTAATGCGTGTAAGCCGGAACGCGCATTGGCGTAACGGCGCAATTAATGAAAGCGGACGAGAGAGAAACGTTCTGAGAGTCGGCCGATCTGAACCTGCACCTGGATCCGTTCAATTCACGGGTTTTTTCAACCATTGCCACCTATTCGATCGATGATAATAATAGCGATGATAATAATGATAATCCCAACCCCTTTCTAGAATTCGCATGGAAATACTCGGCTTGGAGAACTTGGTTGGTAAAGTGCAGCGTGTAGTTATTCGAAAAATACGGTGTTGAAATACGGCTCGATGAAATCCAAGCCTGTCGCGAAGGTAACGAGTTATCCGATTTCTCGTACGCCGCTTCTTTATCGAGAGGAGATTTCGAGAGCTTTATCAGCGAGATTTTGCCCGGCTGATAAACGTCTATGCCCGCGCCTATGCGCAAACGCGGGGCGATTCGCTGGTTCAGCGATGTCTTCTCGGTGAAAAAACCGAGGAAGGAAAAAAAGTCAACGATAGCCTGCTATGTTCTACATCGTTTATCCGGCTGGATTATATAGAGCATCATCCCGCTGGTTACGGCCGCTTTCCTTATACGCTCTCGCTTTTCTTCTTCCTTTATATTCCAGCCTCCCTTTCCCCTTCACGGCTTCCTCGTTTCCCTCCCGCTTTTTTTCCTTTTCTTTCTTTCTTTCTTTCCTTCCTTCTTTCCCGCAGGCCAGCTTCTATATACGAGTTTAGACGCTTGTACGCACCTACACACACGGCTATCTCGCTCGTATCGGGCTTATGCTAATGTATATGCATTCCAACATGCTCGGACACGGGCATATAATTAATGATACCTTGTTCCCGCGATTAATTTTTTTGTTTTTTTCTTCTTCTTCTTTCTTTTTTTTTTTTTTTCTCAGCGAAGGATTTAGAAAATTATTCGCGTTTGTACATTGTGTTCTCGGCCTGTTGTTCGCCTGCGACGAATATTATCTATTATATCAGCGGGTTCTAACATTCTATTTCGATCGATTTGATTGTATTAAGTTGTTTTTGATAAATGCTTTCGGTTTATTTATCAATCGCGATTTCGGTGGTCGCGACGTAAGAGAGATATACGATTGTTTCGTTCTGGGATAATTCTGGCTTTCTTCTTGGCTTTCTAAAAACACGCGTTAAACAAGCGTTCGAGAAGGAATCGATTCTTTGAACGATATAAGAATTATTTTGAAATAATAATGAAAGTTTTCGAAAGATGAAACAATCTAAAATATAAATATTTTTAATCGATAACAATTCTAAAAGGAAATTAAACGTGATGTGATACGATCGAAATCGAAATTAATCTCACATCGAGATCGTTCATTCGCGAATTTCTCTCGCGATTTCAATTTTCGTTCGAAAACTATCGACTCGATTATCTTTAAAGAATTATTCTAAATCTTTAAATGGAGAAATTTATCAGAAAAGGTAATCTGGAAAAGGGGCCGCCGAGCAACGCGGTTTTATTATCGCGGTTAGTTAAAGAAACACTGCGACGATAATGCAAATGAATTGTAGCGTGAAGTTTCCGCCTTATTCTCCAAGAAGATTCGTGCCAACGGCAGCGTGTGAGTGCTTAAATCGCGGAGTTACTTTATCTCGCGTGCCTTATCTTTACGCGGCTACGGTTCTCGCTTTATCGATACCAGTTTACGTGAGCAGCGGATAGATGAACCTGCCTTTGCAACAGGGACACAATATATTAGCAATCCGTTCGAAAGAGAGGAAATTGCTTTCTGATATTTCTATCCACCGGTTAATGGTTAACGATTGCACGCAGTAATTAAAAGCCTCTTCCGTTTCTAATTCTTTTTTCTTTATGATTTTTTACGATTTCAATGATTTTCCGGTGTGAAATAAAATTACAACTCGGTTAAATTTGAAGATCTCTCTATAAACATAACAAATCTATCAACAGAAAGGTAACAATATTTTATCTTAACTACAAAATATTTCAATATCTCTCGCCAGTGATGAAAAGCAGTGCTGCCATCTGACCACCGCAACGATAATATTATCGTTACATTTGTAACATTCGTGAAAGTCAGGAATACGGTGTTATTTTCGTTTTAGAAATCACAAATCATTAATCAATCAATGAGCAAAAAGCAATATCATCGACAGATCGCTACGTATTTGATTCCATCGATGAGAGTATCACTCTTTCACCTATCATTTTCTTCGGTCTAACAGTTTCTTCGCTGCTCCAAAAACAACATTCCCCGTCGCGAATAGCACGTGCTCACATTCATACGAGATTTTTTCCCCTTCTCCTCTCTCCTATATACCACCCTGTCTGCATTCTTTTCACCCTCTTTCGCATAATTTTTTACACTTCGTCCTCTCGTATCTACACGCCTACGCGGCATACCAGTCTTATGTTAATGCACACGGTCATATACATGCTCAATGGCGTAGGAACTCGGTTAATATTATCCCTATGTCGCGTGTGATTATCCCTTATTTTTACGAGGCTGTGAATGAAAATTATGTTACCCACTCCGCTTCCTTATTCCGTCCACGCTCTTTCTCAAGACCGATTTAAATTTCTCCGAATTCTTCGCTCGAAAATTAAGAGGATTCTTCGTTTGGAGGGCCGCCAACGGCGCAATCGAGCAAATCTTTCGGACGATCAAACGCGTATCTGGAGGGCACTGGCCGCTCATGCGAGAAATTCAAAAGGGCCTCGAGGAGCTCGAGGGTGGATACAGTAACTCACGAAGCGGTATTTGAATTGATATTTTACGCAAGGAAATTCGCGCTAACTTGAAAATAATCGATTTCAATGCGAAGAATAATGGATATATGTATATATTTGAAAAAGTGAAATCAATGATAAAAGTTTCAGAGCGTTTCCTTGCTAAAAATCTTAATCTTAAACTATTTTAGAAAAATCCAAATTACAAAGTTATTTATCAAATTAAATCGATTGGTTTCTACCCTTTCAAAATGACATCCTTCCAAAAACTCGAATCCGACAGATCCACCATATTTGTTACTACGAGAATTTCATTTCCATCGAAACACTTTCACAGAGAGCCGTTCCACGAAGAGGAGGCAAACAGGATTTCGTTCGAACAGCTCCAATAATCCCATCCCCTGCTCGCGAAATGGAATCGCGTATTATGTTAATTTTCCGATAAATTCCCGATTTCTCCGCTTATGTTCTCCGCAGCCAAGCACAAAATCCACGCGAGGCGAGTTTCACGCCAGCAGCATAATTGGTCTGTCGTCTGCCCCGCGGACGACAGCTTATCCGATCTCTCTATTTCCCTTCTTTCGTGGCCGTGTCAGAGAGATCCGCATAAACATGGCCGGTAGTCGCATACCATCGCTCGATGACTATCGACTTCTCGTGGAGAGCTTCCTGAAAGACACGCATTAAGGACACGCGTTACGCGTTCCTCCGCATACTAACTACCACGAACCTCCCCTCCCTCCCCTCCCCTCCCCCTCGCGACGATAAAACGAGATCCGCAATTTGCGGATGTCGAATGGAGCGGGTTCTCCATGCTCGTTACAGAAATTGCGCTTTATAGGAATAAGTACACTTGTTGTTGCTACTCTCCAGGATTTATCTCGGCTAGGTATCTTTCTCTGCGAGTGAGCCGTAGCGTTATGGGGGGATGATTCACTGGATTTGTTTATGGGAGGAGGAAGGTTAATGGAGAACGGTTTTTCTCTTCGTCGTAATTCACAGGTTTAATTGAGTAGCATAGCAAAGGGAGTATAAAGCAGAATGAAATAATTGTATAATTGTGTGATGATTGGGTGGCAAAAATCCACCAATGTTTCAGTGTATTTTCAGTATATCAAAAATAAGAAATTTCTTTGAAAAGAAATTATCTTTTCATCGAGGAGAAAACTATATCTTTGTCATCCCAACAGTCCTTTCTCAAGCATTATACACGTTACGAATCGAACATTTTGCTTTATATTTATGTATTGTACTTGGTATTCACGCGAAATTTGCATCTCTGCAAGAAGAATTCACTCCGCCAAGCTATCCATCGATTCCGTTCGTTCACCCAGACATGCAATCAACCTAGCAAGGCTAACTTCTTTCCTGACCAGTAACTTTACAAGTTTCGTTGCCTCTGCAAAGGCCGTTCAATCATAAAAGAGTCAACATTGTCGATCGTTGCGAGGCGCTTGTACCAATATAACCGATCGATAAATATCCCTAGTCGCTTGGCCAGGACCAAACAAACCTATTCCCCGTGTTTCAATCCTCTTATCCATTTATTAGCTGCGAAAATTGGCCAAGCCTAGAGATTTTTATATTATTTGGAATATTACTTCATATTTGTTTTCAGATCCGTGAACATTTAAAAACTTGAT